ACATGACATTTTTTGTACAGAGTATGGCGCGGTACAGGTTTTTTTTCAATGCTTGCAAGGAATAGGACACCAGGTAGTGTCTCGAGTTCTCTTCACGCGGCGGTAATTCTTTATCTGCCGAACCATTAATCTTTCCTTTTGTGTTTCGATAGCCCTGATTTACAACTGCCATATCTTAGGAGAAAAGAACTGTTTCAGAATGGCGGTATTCTCGTTTATAGTTGTCTTGACATTTCGAAGAAATTTTACGCTTCACTGTAACCGGCAATTGCAGGCAATTTGGGGATGTACTCGCTGGTGAGATATGGCCAGAGAAATGTGATTCGCAGCGCTTGTCAGCGAAGCCGCGCGTTCGAACGCTGTGGATATTACGGAAATGGACGATCGTCGAAAATAGGCATTTCTCATAGGACATTATCAAAATCACTTGAAATGCACAATTGCCAAATTGCGATGCTATCAAACCACAAGCAGTACGATTTTCTGTCGTTAGTGCCTGATGTTACACAACACTGTGATATGCGGTGATACTCGCACTGCTCCGTTGTTTTTGAATGTTGGATGAGGGCATCAGGCACGTCAATGCTTCATGATGTTTGGGTAGTGTGATTAACGATCATGTGACTGGAGCAACATGCGTTGGTGATACCAGTGTGTATTATCTAACCGGTAGGGTATTGTAACGTAATTTTATAGGTTTAAAATCAGCTGAATTTTATTTCTGTCAATACCGTATTTAATTAGGTTTAAATCAATACTGTCGTAAATAATGATTCTACAAATCATTACGCTGGGTTATGCGGCAGGGTTGTAGTGGTACAAGAGATGGTGGTTATGTTTGTGCGTTTTAGTTAAAGGCATCTCGCTTAACAATGACGACTTTGCAACTTTTGTCCTGCGTTTCCACGAGCAATCCGAGAACAGAAAATTTAGACGGTGCAACATCAGTCAGGCAGTCAGTCATTTAAGACGACCGGTTATTCTTTAGGGTCACGGAGGTAGACGTGAAAAAAACGTTTCCAATCCTATGCCAACTTCGGCAGAAGACAACCGGAGTCTGGAGAAAAGACTTTCCGTCCCCACCGGCACTACCGGGTATTTGGCCGTTGGGTTGAGCAAGCAGTTGCTGTTTCGCTTTTGTTTCTGAAAGCATTCGCATTGCAGTTGTGACTTCTCAGTCTGAACCTGCAGCGGCGATATTGTGCAAAGATTTACGGAAATATTCTTTCATGGCTTAGTCCCACATATCCTGTTTGTTTGTCTCTGCTCTGAACGGTTAATTATCGTGCTGGTTCGAAAATTTTTTGATCGTTCCTCATCTGACGCGTTCTTCTCAGCGCTACGGTTTCCTGGGCGAAGCAACAGCATCAGGCATCGACAGGCGTGGTTTCAGCAACACTGTTTAAAGTAGAGTATAAAGTGACATTCGCATAATGCGTGGAAAAACCGTCCATCGATCTTTGATAGTGGCTGTCACATGATCATCTTATGATGAGAGGTGCCAGTACGCTATATGGATCTGTGTTTTCCTTGATAAGAAATACAATATAAGAAACTAAATCCAGAGAGTACAGACTTTTGTCACGAACCATGTTCCCTCTTTCTAAGAGACCGCATTTTTGATTGAACAGAGCCAATCAGTGACTGCTGAGTAGATAGTGTTGACTACAGCAGAATAACTAACATGAAGGCATACACCTTGCATTGTGCGTGTACTTCATCGTGGCAGCTGATGCACGATGTCATTCAACGCTAATTATGTTAATTAGACGGCCATTAACTTGTTTTTCTTCAGGCTACTTCGAATGAATCCTTTGGTTGACAGAAAATAGATGGTATTCGAAAATCTGTTTTCATTCAAGTTAGAGCCGAAGCAACCGAAAATTATACAGCAGTCAAACCGCTTGCTTGAGGTAAGAAACGGATGTTTTCCTCAATTTTCTGGACCAATTTTGTGGATTGGTTGTTTTCTGAGAGTGGTTTAGTTCTGTAGTGATTGATGTAAACTGCTCACAGTGTACTGTATTTGTTGTAGTACTTGTATCACTGATTAGAATAGTGTACTTTCGTTTTAATTCCTGTTGTTCTAATAACCATTTTTTGCCGCTTTCCTGCACCATGCGTGCTGCTTACTCTTCCACCAATGACCGCTCATCTCAGCATTTCGCATCTGACCAACGGAAGGTTTGACTGACAATAGGTTTTGGTTTAATTTCTTCTACAATGTGTTGTGTGGGCCACGGATCTCCTCCGTCCGTTTTTACGTTCTCATGCAGTCCACCATTTAGACGAGCTTAGTTGTATACCTGTTGGTGATCGAACTACATCAGTTCTCTTCTTGAACGACAAAGATATATCAGTGAGGATAGTACTGTAGTACATATTAAGTACTTACTATTAGTACTTTATTTCCTATTGTATTCTGCTACTTTTCATCGATGCATAGCAACAGTCTATTTAGATGATAACAAATTCTTGGCATAATTCTATCCAGTCGAGTTTACGATAATCATATAGTTTAAACTGTTTTTTTGCAAACCCAAACGTAACTCAGTGGACTATTCTTTTATGAACAAGTACTTCGAACATGTGTTTTTGACCTAACATATAATGTTTGTTTGCATTTAGCTGTGCATGTTGTGATACTATGAAGGTTTTCCTTGCTTGATTGATCCTTTAGAATTTTAAAAGCAAATGAAGCGGTGCGGTTATGTTGGAATAAGACATATACTTGTTTATTCTTATCATCAGTGGATTAAATAAATGATTAATTAATTGATATTAGTTTAATTTAGTAATAAAATGAGTATGTATTAAAATGAGTTACTCAGCATTTAAGAGAAAACCAGTTATTTATCAAGAAGTAGTGTGAGTAGGAGAAAGGAGCTAAGTAGTTAAATGGCAAACCCAAGTTACAGACTAAGGCAGTATGAAAGTGGTTGAATAACCACGAGGGT